ATATTCCCTTTGTTCATTGCTAATATAAGAAAAAAATCGACTTTTGTTAAAATCGCTGACTGGTCCCAGGAGTTTTTGTTTGTTTTGCAGTCTTTATGTTATTCTAAATAGATAATTATGTTTTCTGTGAAGAGACATGGTCTAATTTCTTTCTTACCAATAATCTGTATGCATTTTTTCCCTGCCTGCCTGTTCTGGCGAGGACGTCTAGTACAATGTTACACATGAGTGGTGAGAACAAACATGATCACCTAGTTCCTAGTATCAGTAAAAGATTGAATGTTTTCCTCTTACTGTTTTAGTTGTGGGATTTTTTAGATGTTCTTTCTTTATTAAAGAAGTTCTCTGCATGTCCTAGTTTGCTGAGAGGTTTGTTTTTTTTTTTTAATCACGAATAAATGCTGAATTCTGTTAACATGGTGAATGATACTGATGACTATTCAAATTTGGAATCGGTCTTGCATTCCTGGGCTGAAACCCACTTAATCTCATTATCCTTTTATACACTGATGAATTTATTTACTAATATTTTGTGGAGGATTTTGTCTAGAGTTCATGAGGGCTATAGCTGGCTTGAAATTTCTTGTGATGCCTTATTCTGGTTTTGTGTTAGGGTGATGCTGTCTTAATACAGTAAGCCAAGAGGTATTCCGTCCTCATCTGTTCTTCTGAAAGAGACGATGCAGAGTTGGTGTTATTACTTCTCAAATGTTTGGTAAAATTTGCCAGTGAAACCATCAGGGTCTTGAGTCTTCTTTTTTGAAAGATTTTTAAACTAAGAATTCAATTTCTTTAAATAGACAGTTTACTATTCCGGTTAATTATTTCTTCAGTGAGTTCGGTGATTCTTTGGTAGTCTGTTCTTTCAAGGAATTGGCCCATATCATCTAAGCTATCAAATCCACTGAAATAGAGTTGTCTGTAGTCTTCCCTTGCCACTTTTTAGTCTTTAGGGTTATATAACCTCGTTCATTCTTGACACTGATGGCCCGTGTCTTCTCTTTTTCTCCGGTCAGCCTGGCTAGAAGATTAACAATTTTATCGATCTCTTCAAAGAACATGCTTTTGGTTTGCTTTTGTCTACTGTTTTCCAGTTCTAAATTTCATTCATTTCTGCTCTTTATTTTTTCTTTTCTTCCAGCTGCTTTGGGTTAAGTTAGCTCTTTTTTCTCGAGTTTCTTAAGGTGAAAGCTTATTGATTTGGGACGTTTCTCTTTCCTAATATAAATATTGATTTGGGACGTTTCTCTTTCCTAATATAAATATTAGGAAAATATTTGATTACCTGTATGACTGGAATAACATCTCCAACCTTGCTAGCTATATTCTATCTGTTCCATCTATTTTTCTTTTTCCATTTCTTGGACTATTGGAGCACTTTTATAATTTCAGTTTCTCTCTTCTATTGACTTATTATTTATACGTCTTACATTTTTTTCTGTAGTTGCACTACGGCTTACAATATATATCCTTAATTAGAGTTCACCTTCAAATATATATCACGTCATACATAGAATAAGGATCTACAATAGCCTATTTCCAATCCCTCCATTATTTGCTGTCATACATTTTTACACGCGCTATAAACACAAAATTCATGGCCACCATTTCTGTCTTAGAAAGTCAGCTATCTTTCACAATTAAAAGAGAGGAAATGCCCAGATCTTGGTTTCAAATACCAGCCTCCAATAAAAGGAACCAGGGTTCTTTGGAGAAATGCCAGATTCTAGGACTGGACAGTTTTGTAGTAACCCCACCCCCACCCACCAAAAAACACAAGGATGACGGATTCTGAAAGGTGCACAGGAACCAAATGAACAGTCCTCAGAAGCTAAAGCTGGAACAATCTGAGCAACGGAATAAAACAGCATCAGCAGAATTATAAATTAACGGAATTTAGTAGTATTGTAACCTAAAGTGCAAAATAAACGTCCATGAGTCCATACTAGCATACGTGAATGACCAAACAAGTAAGACAGAACAGATAAGTCACCTATACAGAAGAACTCCACATAAACACTGCATGAAGATACTCCGCCCTTCAGCAGGTGGGAGCATAACCCCCGTTCCACAGGTACGGGCCTCATATACTGACTTCCTTCCAAAGGAGACTATCAAAAGGGGGGAAAAAGAGTAACTTTACAGTGGAGAAGCCCATGAAAACGACACGTGCAAGATGACCACGGTTAACATCAACAGCAACGGTCATGCTGATAGCACGCACCCTTTTTCCGAAGTGATGAAAGTGGCACCTTCAGTTCTGTGGCTGCCCCTGTCAAGTCAGTACCCTCAATTTAATCATAGGAAAAACATCAGTTCAATCCTAACTGAGGAATATCTACAAAATACTGGCTGACCAGTACTCCTCAAAACTGTCATGGTCATTAAAGCAAGGAAAGCCTTACAAACTGTCACAGCCAAGGAGCCTAAAGGAGACATGACCACTAAATGTGATGTGTCTCCTGGACTGGAACAGAAAAAGAGGTGAAGTTGAACACTGAGGATATCTGAATACATTACGGACTTTAGTTATTACTAATATATCGAGACTGACTCATTAGCTGTAACAAATGAACCATACTATTGTAAGATGTTAACAGGAGAAACTAGGTATGGAACCTATAGGAACGTTCTGTACTATCTTTGCAATCTTTAAATAAATTTAAAATTGTTCTCAATTAAGTTTATAAAACATGGGGGGAATTAATTTTATTTTGTCTTCACTTATTTCATTTCCATTGTTCGTTCGTTCTTTTGTATAGATACAAATTTTTGCTGGTATCATGTTTCACGTGCCAAAGGACTTCCCTTAACGTTTCTCAAAGAGCATATCTGCTGGCAATAAATTCCCACAAGTTTTGTTTGAGAAAAGTGCTTTTGTTTCTCTTTCATTTTTTGAAATGAAATTTTGCTAAGTACAGCATTCTAGATCGAGGGTTTTGTGTGTTTTTTTAATTTCGGCACTTTATGTTACTCCGTCGTTTGGTAGCTCGCCGTTTCCGAGGAGAAGGATGGTGTGAGTTCTTTTCTCTGTTCCTCTGCATGTTCTTCTCTTTTCTCTGGCCGCCTTTACAGTTCTTCCTCTGTCTTCTGCTTTTAGCAGTCGGGGCGGAGGGAGGAGAGAGAGAGAGAGAGTGTGTGTTGTTGGCAGTATTTACCCTCCTTGGCGGTGTTGGTCATTGTTTCTTCAGTGTTTCTCTGGTCTCTCTCTCCTCCTTTGGATTCCAACTCCACATGTTAAACCATTTGCTAGCGTCCCACAGCGCGTGGGGCTCTGTTCTGGTCAGTTCTGTGTTCGTCACTTTTCTTCTTGTCCTCCGGTTGGGCAATTCCCACTAACCCACAGACACACGGGTCCGTCCTCTGCGAGGCCTTCGGTGCAGGGCTTTGAGCTTGGCTGCTGCCAGTTGCTCTCGGTGTACCCGCCGCGGCCCTGGAATTCCTGAGGGAAGCGGGGAGCTGGCTTTGCGTGTTGCTCCCGCAGTGACTGCTCTTCAGGCTGCGGCCTTCTCAGTCACCCTGTCGCGCCCCCGGCATGGTTCCCGCTCCTCCGCCCCGGGCTGAGACACTTTTCCTTTTCCACTCCGCAGATACACTGGGGTCTCACCAGCGTCCTAAGGGTGACAGTTTTGCTGTCCGTCTCCTCCCAGACTAAGACACGTGTCCCACGAGTGCGAAGGGAGAAGGCTGCAGGCACCACGCCCTGGCCGGCGCGGCGGCTGCTCTCCCTCCTCCAGCTGTGTCACACGGGAGGCTTCCGCAGGACATTCCCAGCCTCTTCCGTGGGTGCGCCCGGTGAGGTTCACAGAAGAACCTGCCAGAGAACTCAGACGGCCCCTGCAGCAGCCTCAGGGCTGTGCACGGTCCTGCCAGTGAACACTTGGCCGCCAGGATCCACCGGTGACCCCAGCTAACTCTTACGACCCATGCCTCGCCCAGGTCAGTCGGTGCTCCAGCGCCCTTCCCCTGCAGCCTGCCTCCCCAGAGCCTGGCCAGTCAGCTGCCCTGAAATCTCAACACTACCGTGTGTTCAGGGAAAACTGTGAACTTGTTTGTCCAACTTTTTTTCATGACACGGCTGGGAGTGACACCGTTTCCAGCTTTCAACATCTCCAAAGGAAAAAGTACTACTTTGTTTTCTGACCTAAAGAATTTTGGTCCCGACTCTCCTTTGTTCTATCTTGGACGGCCAAGTTATGCAAATGTAGACTTGTCACCTAAAGCCTGAGAACACAGGCCGTCTGAGCACTTCCACTAAGCAAGAAAACCAAACGGCCAGTCCACACCGTAGGAAGAACATCGGGCACGTCGCGTCACGTGTTTGGTAATCAAACTGCTGCTAAACTAAGAATGGCTTTAAAATCTGCATGTATATTCTAATTTTTTTCTATGAGAGGCTAAGGGGAAATAAACAATACTCTGCTTTATAAACACAGGATTCAAAATAAACGAGGCTGGAACTATACACACGTTGTCAAGGGCCGGGCTGGGAAGACCTGCATCCTTTAGAGTTAAATGGAAAGATTATTTGAGAATAAACAAAAAATTCTATTTGGAGAATAACTCATTCAAGCTTTTATGCATTCTTCCCTATTCTACAATATTTCTCTTTGATATGTAGAATTTCCTGACAAATAATTTAGTGTTTCTCTCACAGAAAAGCACTTGCGAAAATTACTGGAAGTATGCAGAGTACAGAGAAAAGATACTTAAATCAGGTGTCAATGACCAGTTTAGGGATAAGATCTCTAAGTAAAGATGCCAGTCTGTTAAAATTAAAATTAAGCATAACTACCTCTCCACATTTCATTTTAAATAACCATTAAGCAGATTTCCTGTTTCTCCATAATCTGATTTCTGTGTATTTAAAATACACTTGTTTCTTCGAATGCCGATTTCAAATAGAATACCCATCAGGAAACCGTCTAGGGTCTAAGGAAGTACAGCACATCTCCAAGGAAAACAGACCGTGCATGAAGCTGCAGAAGGGCGGAACGTACCAGCGGGGGCATCATGCCCTTGCTGGAAGGAGGGATGACGACACGAAGATCTGGTTTTCGACTGTTCATGGCCAGACCGCTCCCCGCCGGGGGAGGAGGGGACTTCGTGGGCATCACTTTGCCTAGACTATTTGCACCAGTGGTTCCGATCAAATTTGGAGAAGCTCTTGAGTTTACGAATCCGTTCCCTGGAAAAAAAAAAAGTATCACTCAATAACATGGAAAAAGTCATTACAATGCCTTGGTATGAACATGAAGCAAGTTTTTCCCAGTTTCAGTTTCACATGAATTTTATGACAAAACTCGTCGGTAGCTAACCAGGTATCTTTGAATATTTTTCTTAAAAGCCAAGAAAGTAAACCCAAGTCTGAAATACATATATAAAGGTTAAGTCTAAATGCCACTTGTTTCCAGCCTTATTACACAGACCTCCTGAGACACTAATTAAAATACAAGACATAATTCTAACAGGGCATCTCCTGGGACCGAGAAAATGGAGGTATTGTAAGAAAATACTGAGGCCGACCTATCTCCTCACTCCGATTCTGGGCACTGACGTCGGCGGGTCCCGGGGCAGTTCCTGAGCTGCAGCTTATGCAGACTCAGCCCCGGCTCTCGCCCAGGGCTTCTCCTCGCTCTGCCTCGGCCCGCTCTGTTCCTTCAACTGTTATTAAGGTCTTCATTAAATAGCTGTGCTTTATCTGACTTTAACCCCCTTATTTCCGCTTTACGACTTTCCCTAACAGAAGCGTCTCGCAGAGGACACAAGCAAACAGGTACATTGTGGCACGTTCCATACACAGCACTTTGGGAACCAGCTGAGATCCATTATCCTTGTCATTCTCGCCCTAGCCGTGTGGTCTGGATGGGGCTCGCCCCGCTTCAGTCAGTCACTCCTGCCCCCAGACTGGCTCATGACAGGCATGTGACTCGCTCACCACAGGGATGGGATCCGGGAGCATCCCATCAGAACCAGGGTGAAGACGCTGTTACGTGCCGGTAAGGGAGGCTCACACATTTCTCCAAATGGGACCGAGGAAGCATCTTATTCTCAAGCAATTCTGAGACTCAGAAGACCCGCCAGCATGAGGGAAGGGCGGCTGTGGGCGGGCAAGGCGGGAGCACCGCCTCCCACACCTGCAGCTCACCCCAGTCTCTTCAGTTACACGTAGTCAGGAAACACCCTGCACGAGTTAAGCCTAATCCGGACGGTTTTCTTTGTTAGTTGCGACTGACAATATCCTAGCAGAGACAGTTACTATTCACCAGCTCACAGTTCAGTGGTGGGGACAATGCCACAAATTCTTGAAAAGCCAGGTAACAAGTATACAGGACCATAAAACGGTCATTTACAAAGCAGAGGCTACTACACCATTTCACTTTCTAAGTAAATCACCAACAGAGCAGGGAAGGATAGAAAACAAAGTTAACTATAGATTTTTTAGATACTTTGTGAAAACTTAATTACTAAATCCAACATAGGGTTAACAGCCCATAAAGAAATATAGCATAGGTCATTCTACTGTTCCATATTTTTTAAACTGTCAGCTTTAAAATAAAAATATAAAGAAACTAAGTTAATCATGTGTTTGGTATACTTTTAGCAACAGAGATTGTTATTCTATTTTGAATAGTCCCTGATCCCTGTCAACTCTACTATAGTACATAAATGTTAATTTAAGAGCATTAGATAAAAGAATAAACTTATTGGCCCAAGAATTTCATTCCTAGTGTTTATTACGAAACTGACCAAGAACAAAATATTCAGAGTAGTGAACTGGGAGTCCCTGGAGGGCTGAACAGTTCCCTCAAATTCCCAGGGTGGGACTACGTGTTCGCACAGTAGTGGCGACCATCCAAAACCAGACAGTAACACAGACCGACCTGTACGATGTGGAAATAAACTTTTAAACGTCTATTATGTGCAGAGTACTCGCAGAGGAGGGGGCCTCGGAAGGGAGCAAAAAACCCCACGCTGTCTTCAAGCTGCTGTTCATTTAGTTAGCGAGATCGGACGCACCGCACAGAGGCGTGAATGTGCCCCAACCGCCCTCGCACACGGAGAGCACCGCGACGAGGGGTGACCACGCACGACTTACGAGCGACAGGAAGTGAAGCACAGATGCGGGTACGGGGCCTAACGGGGACGACTTCGTGGGACTGACAACTGGCTGAGCAGTCTGAAGGACAAGAGCTGACAGAGGCAGGCGCTCCGGACAAACAAGAAAGGAACAGATAAGCAGAGTCCGGGGCTCCAGAGGCCACCGAAAAGCAGAAGCAGCTGTTCCTTGCCCTCCTGTACAAAGCCCAAAAGACAACTTTGGAATCCACCAAAAACAGACACATCTGTGTGAAAAAGCTGCAAATGCTAAGCGAAAGTGTCCGCTGTGCACTTGACACCACCCCGAAAACCTTCCCTACCCCGAGAAGCGAAACGATGGGCCCCGAAGAACAGCAATGCGCGGATGACCAAAAAGTCAACTATGTATCACACGTGTTTCGCTTTCAGAGCTTTTGTATTGGGTTATTGGATCTTTAAATTCTATTCAAGTTTCTTAAAGAGACGTGTTATTTAAAACCACTTAAAATTTAGTGTTTGGCAGTTCATAAAATAGGGTCAACTGATAGGTATGTGAATTCTAAAATTAGTAACTAGGAAGATGAATTAAATCCTTGACGATAATCTGAAGAAATCGGATGCTTCAGCACCACTGCTCATAATATATTTAGACTTTGAAAAACGTGAATTACTTATAAGAGAAACTGAAAAGTGATGTTTTGCCAGGAGGATGACAAACTCCGTTGGACCCCAACCAGTACATTTTCAAGGGACAGAGAAGACAGGGAGGTGGCTCTTGTGAACTGGCCGCAGCTCTTCGCGGCCGTCCTTCCGCACGCCAGGATCCCTCCCTGCCCCGCTTACTCTCCCCCAGTCCTCCTCGCTTTCTCCACAACTTTTACCAAGTGACCTGCCGCCTTTAATTCATTTCTGTGACTTCATGTCGCTGTGGGGACTGGTATTTCAGTTAACCTTAGGAGGCTATTTCCTGCCTTCTGCTTCCATTATCTCGAAGGGGTATGTATTAAATCTGGGCTGACTCTCTCTTCCACACCCCGGAGAGCAATTTCCTGCATTCTGTTAAGCTTCGGAAAGCAGCACTCTTAAAAAAAAAAGAAAGAAACGAAAAACAATTTCTTCACTGGGCCATCCCCTGCGGAGTGGGAATCATCTCTGAGCTGGGCAGAGGAACTGCGAAACAAATCATCTGGATTCAAAACGCTCATCAAATAATTCTATTCAAAAATAGGAAGGTTTGACAGAAACTAATATTAATGTCAATCTAACGTTCTAAGTGCAGATTCACGGTGTTTCCCTTAAATAATGACGTGAATGTGTGCTCTTAACTCCGACATTTAGAAGATTCTTATTCGCTTGATTTGCACTCAAGTCAGAAGGATAAAGCAGTAGTCCTCTCTCACGTTACGACGCGTCGAGATATTCAGAACATGTCATCAAGAAGCACCAACACCCTTTCCCACGAGGAGCCCACGATGCTTTTCAACTAGATGCGGTAGCACAGTAACTCGCGAGACGCAAGTGACAAGCGTGAACGGGATCTGAGCGCGTGCTTCTTGGGGTGAAGTCGGTGTGTGCGGCAGGTTAACGATTACGGGGTGATGTCAGTGTCTGGTCACCTGCCGCCAGGCTGAAACAAGATCATCTCGTACGCACCGTTTACTATATGCTGGAATATAGTGACATCCTAACCAACCCACGCCTTCATACTTCCAGTTCGTTTTTTTACGACGAAAATGAAGATGCTGTTGAGACAGGTTTTTGAGGTAGATATTTTCAATGTATAACTCATCTTGCTGGAGCCTATACGAATTCAGGAATTAAAGTTCCAAGTCTAAATGAACAAATTCAATTTAACACCATTGCTGTTAGACTGTATTTTCAGGTTTTAGATAAATTATGCCGACACAAACGTGACGAAGATGCTCTTGAGGAAACCGCACAGCCATCCCTCCAGGACCTAACAAAGCTTCTCTCAGCTCCAAGGCCGATCCTTCCATCCTATCAACCTGGCTCGTGTTTTAGAACATCATACCAGCTGAAATGATGCATTCGGGTGGCTGGAAGGCACTCCATGTCCTTAATACTACTCTTTTAGGGCAAAATTGTAGACAGTGATGTCATAAATATTTCATTACTATGAATCTATTCCAGAAGTTTAACTGACATGCACGGGATTTTGAAAATCTCAAAGGATTAGAAAAATTCATCCAAAGCAAGGTTAGAGAACTTTATATTTGACAAATTTTTCATAAAATCTGACAAACGTTCGGCTGATTATCAAAATAAACAGAAATACATTTTAAAAGTCTATAAAATTGTGCCTTTTGTATAAAGAACTGAATGAGGTTTCTAATATTTACAAAGACCACGGGTTTTAAAATCACTGATGACATATGTACCTGCTTCAGTGGGAATCGAACACTTGTCACCTACAACAGACGACGCTCGCGGGTTCCTGCTGCCTCCCTCTCTGAATTCCGTGTCCCCCCGTGAGGCCACGTCGCTGCTCCTCTTCGGCCTTCGTGTGTCCCCACGGCTCTGACCACTGCCTCAGTCTGACTCTTCGATCTGTATTTCCGCTTCGTATCCCTCGTGTTTAGTCCACACGCATCCACCTGGTGGCGCTTCCCCCAGGTATGCCGCTGTCCCCTCCATCGCCCCACCCCACTCTCAAAGACCCGTCAAGCTTTGTTACTGTCCTTTGCGTCCTTCACCATCCACCTCTTCTTCGCAGCTGCCACAGGCTCTGCTCCAATGCAAACCCTCGTTACCTTCACTCAGCCCTGCACAAGAGCTTCCGGAGCCTATTTCTAGACCGGTGTATGGTTCTCTCGTTTTTAAAAAGTGAAGCTGCCGGATGGCGAAGATCTGACTTTCTGCTTGATCTCTAAACACAGGCCCAAAAGTGAAAAGGAATTCCCAAAGTCATCTGAACTGCGGTATGATCTGAATGTTAAGTGTAAACTCTCAGAAGAGAAACAGCTCTGGTAAACCATAATCGAATAAGCAGACTGCGACTGTGAAAGATGTGTACAATGTACAGTACGTACAAAACCGGCAGGTTTTATTTGGGTAGCAATGATATCAACTGAAAAGAAATGTATCGCG